GTTTAGGGTTTAGGGGTTGGGCTTTGTAAATGGGCTGTAGGAGGCTTTCTGTAGGGTTTGTGGCAAGGATCTCCTGTTTTAGTTCTGCTCCGGCAGCCAATTGGCGCAGCATGGTCCATGGGATTACGGTCGAATGCTTTAGAGTATTAGGGCTTCGGGGTTTGAGGGTTCGCGTGTTAGTGTTCATAGGGTTTTGGGGCTTCAGGTTTAGGGCGGGCTTGTGGGATCCGGAGACTTGCGAAGCTAGCTGAAAGGATCTTGGTAGCGTTTTCGCTGGGAGTATTCTGCAGGTTCAAGTTTAGCATCTGGGGTTGGGAGCAGATTCCACGGACAAAGACTTCTAAGGAAACATGGCCTCTGCAACCAAAGGAGAGTCGTGGGCATTGCATGCAGTGTTGAGGGTTTCGAAATTTACATGAACTGGTGTCTTGGAATGTGTGTGGCAAATGGGTCTAGCTGTGATTTTTGCAGGCTGTGGCCTAGCTTCACGGATCTTGCCTTCCGCAAAGGTGCGAATCAAGGACAAAACAGTCTTCAACGGCCTTTTCACTCGAAACCCTTCTCCTTTGATCCTACAAACTCTAAACCTTGATGCTTCAGCCGAAGCCACGGGGAGGTACGGATTCAGGGCCCGCGTGGGCAGCGGCGTGTAGACTTTCATTGGAGCGGGCATCGCCGAGCAGATGAAGAGCGGTGCGGGCTCCTCCCGGCAAACAAGAGGAGCGCATGACGGCGGCTTTTTTGGGGCGCTGTTGTCATGAGTATTGCTACTTCTATTTCCATGTCTATCTCTATTCTATGCGTATTTCTATCCTATTTCTATTTCTACTACGATTACTTTTAGTCTTACGTTTGCCACTGGCTCTTCCTATTGCCATTACCATGAATATGACTGTGACAATTACTATTACTATGACTATAACAAATGCTAATGCTATTGCCATGACTATTGCTATTGCCATCACTATTTCCATTGCTGTGGCCGTTACGCTTGCTACTACTACTACTACTACTACTACTACTACTACTAGTCAACATTCACTCTACTCCTGTCACTATTATTGTTACTATAATGCTACTCTTACTTTTACATGTACTATAACTATTAGTCTTGCTATCGTTCGTGCCATTGCAACTGCTATTGCTACTATTGCTCTTAATGCTTCTTCTATCACACTTTCTTCCCATGCTTATTACCATTACTACTTCTATTACTATTGCTATGACTATACTACCAAGTGCCACTACCTGCTACTACCCCTGCTCCTACACCTTTTTCCAACTCCTACTCCTGCTCCTACTCCTGTACTACTACTACCACTACGACTACTACTACTCCTCCTCCTGCTGCTGCTGCTATCACTATTACTATTTCTATTTCTATTACTTGTGTACTATTACTATCAATACCACTGTTAGGATTATCATTAGTATTACTATTACTATTACTAGTATTGCTGCTGCTACTGCAACTAGCACAGTACTGTTACTGTTACTTTTACTTTTGCTATTACGATGAGAATTGCCACTACCATGACCACGACCGTATGACCATGAACATGACGATTTCTCTGACAAATATTCACTGCTACTTTTATTTTTGTTAGCAATAATGATGGCATGTTGCTGACTATATGATGCAGCGAATAGCACAACTAGTGTTATGATTGTCATTATTGCTTTCGCTGCTCGTTTTATTCATATTGGTTCTTTTTGTTATTACAACTACCACGACTGATACTGTAACTTCTAGATTCTAGCGCATTGCAATGTGATTTGAATGCCTTGTTCTGCCCACTACGAAGACGACGACTTCTACTGCTGCTACTATGAGAACTGTTCTGAGTACTTCGAAAATAATTCGTCTTTCTCTTATTCTCATTAATCAGGGTTGTGTTAAGGTTGTTTTTCTTGCTGCTTCTTTGTCGGACAGGATTAAAAGACCTCGAATGACAAGGTAGGGGGCTTATACGAACCTGTAAGAAAGCAACGAAGACCACGCTGATTGGGACACAAGCGTGACGGCCATCAGCCACTTCATCTGACATGTCCCGAGCAGCAGCTCCTGAGGTGGAGGCGGCCGAAACGTCGCGGTCGCAGCTACCCTGGCATGTCGAAGGACGGCATAGAGCGTTCAAGCCCCGCGAAACTAACAGCTTGGAGGCGATCCCACCGTGCAGGGCGGTCCTCGCTGCATCAGCCACGGCTTTGCAGATGGCCTCTTGCTCGTGAACAGCCTGACCGGGTGACTGAAGTTTGAGAAAGGCTTTCCGTATCCTTACGCCTTGCCCCCACAGGCGGTCGGCGCCGCCTCGGGCACCGCAGTTTTTGCAGTTGGAGTGAAGATCGGCGCGTTGGCCTGGCGGCAAAGACCTAACCAAACGGAGCCTCCCAGAGACTCCAAAACCCCTTAATTAGGGAATTATACCTTAAATTATAGTAGGATCCCTATTACGATTTAAGGTATATTCCTTAATTAAGGGGTTTTGGAGTCTCTGGGCTGGGAGCGTCGGCCCTTTGAGCATTCGGCCTTGAGCTGCGTGTGCGTGGCTTGCCGAGAGAAGGGCGAGGCCTGCGAAGACCGGAGAAGCCGGTTTAGGGTTTAGGGTTTAGGGTTTAGGGCAATGCTTCGGTATAACGACTATAACTGGGAGTTTCCGAAAATGAGGGGTACCTCATTTTGGGGTCCTTATAATAAGGATCCTATTGTTTAGGTTACTATATTGGGGTCCCCTATTTTCGAAAACCCCCAAATGCCATCTGCAGAGCCTCCTGCGGCATAATACCAGGAAGAACAAACCAGGAAGCTAGACCGGGATCCTCACGTCACGTCCGCTGATTGACGGTCACTGCCTGCCTCAGACTCGTTCTCGCCCTCGCTGCTGGATAGTGGACTACCGGCATCCGTGTCTGCCTGCATACACGATGGATCATGTCTGCAACATCAATGTATGATGTCTGCAAATGTAGCATGTCTGAAATGTCTATATCTGATACAACGATAGATGTAAACTTATCTCAAGAGCATGCCGCTGGCATCCAAACTCGACTTCAGACTCGCTCCAAAGACTCGAGCCAAGCATAATATCGAAGGGATTGTGCTAGAGCTGGCAGGACCGAGCCTCACCAATGGAGATCAAGCTGTCCTTGTGGATGTGGTCAACCTTGGCACGGTTTAGGGTTTAGGGTTCTAGGGTTTAGGGTTTAGGGTTCTAGGGTTTAGGGTTTAGGGTTGGCATAATCGCAAGCAAAAAAGTCGGGTGTCCATCCGCTCTCATCTAAGAAAGGACAGATGCCCCAGACAAATTAATGGGTGCCCGAATGGGCTTGGATGACTCAGGTTGTCAGACACAAAGCTAGCAGGTTTAGCCCCGTAGTCTCTCCAGCGCAAGACGAAGCCCTCGTCATTTTCGGGCGCTGCACAAACCGACTGCAATGCTAAGTGTAAGCTGTGGATAGTGTGCAGCCCAGCAGCTGCATCAGCAGCATTCAAACCCAGAGCCATCGTTGTAGCCATGATGACAACCTGTCAAGACGCAGGTCGAAGATCGGAAAGCATGGAGCAGCTGCGTACCAGTAGCTGCAAACGGCTGCAATCTGCTGCTTCCTGAAGGGATCTCAAGTATGGTGTGGCACGATGGCAGGGTCCAGTTCAACAGGTGCTCCTTTGATCTGCAGATAGCTGCAGCCTCTTGCTGTATCCTGGTAGCATAGGATCGACACAGACCAATGCCGGGTAAACTTGCTGCTGTGTCCGCCAGGAAGCAAGTTCAGCAAGCCCAGCAAAGAGGCTTTCTAGGTCGCAGGGCTCTCTACTACCAGTATCGAGTGGTGTCGGATTCAATTTGAGAAGCTGCTTGGCAAGCAGAAACGAGGCCTGGGGCTCACCGACAACATCCTCAATCGGACTCTCCGAATCCTACAAATATGAAGCAAGGCTTGTTTGACAACCTCAAGCTATCGCCAGGACCACAAGGTCGTAGGAAGCGAAATATAAATGCAAAAGAGCGGATGGGGAGAATTGACCGGGCCCTCATCGCCGGCCTGATCTTCGCGCAGCTTGCCCCGAGTTACTGTGGCGCTAACAAAGCTGATGAGCCGTTTGCGGCAGGCGGCTTCTTGGACCTAGCATACAATGCATGCCATCATGGGTTATCAGTGTGCTTACTAGGACACTCTCTGCTGCTAAGGCGGCTCTGCTTGTTTTGTTGGTGCTGTTTTTGCGTGTATTTACGCCCGCGTTGCTCTTGTAGTTGTGCGGGGCGTTGCGACACCCACTATTTGCACCTACTTACTACAAGAGAACAGTTCTGCAAGGGCAGCGGCAGTGGCAGCCGCGGCAGTCAGTAGATGTGGCAGAGGTGCAGCAGCAGCAGGAACAGCAGCAGCAGCAGCAGCAGCAGGAGTAGTAGTAGTAGTAGTAGTAGTAGTAGTAGTAGCAGTAGCAGCAGCAGAAGTAGTAGTAGTTGTAGTAGGAGGAGTAGTAGTAGTAGCAGTGGTAGTCGTCGTATTATCAGCAGTAGCAGTAGCAGTAGTAGTAGTAGTAGTAGTAGCAGTAGTAGTAGCAGTAGTAGCAGCAGTAGTAGTAGTAGCAGCAGCAGCAGCCGCCGCAGTAGTAGTAGTAGCAGCAGTTCTTCTTCTTGTTGTAGCAGCAGCAGTAGGAGTAGCGCTAGCAGTGGCAGAAGTAGTCCTCTGCGGCGCAGGTACACTGCCGGGTCATCTGCACATCTCGGCTTGGGCTATATGGGTGGTTGTGAAAATTATGGTCCCTTTTTGGGCCCTTATTATAATACGGCACCTATTATTTAGTGTACCCCAAAAGGGACCCTAATTTTGACAGCTACCCATATGATACACCCCTTGGAACCCGACATCTCCCGATGTGGCCTGTGCTCGGCCGCCGGCAGCAGCCCAGGGCAGTGCCTGGTCTTTTGGGTATCAGGAGTTTCTTTGGGGTTCTTTTACGACTGTGGTTGCCTTAAGCCCGATTTGGGAGAACCTTAATTGCCGGAGAGTGCCACAAGCGAAAAACCTGAAGCTAGACCCCGACTTTCCCAATGAGAACATCCACTCAACCCCGCAGCATCTCCAACAGCATTGTTCAAGAGCACACCTTCAGAAGCTTCAAGGACTTTCGGGGTTCAGGCTTTTACTCGAGTTGTTGGTGGAAAAACTAGAAAACGGCCTAGGAACGTAAGCTCCCGAAGGACTCAAAATGATTCGTAAGTAAGGCGAACACCCGGAGCTTCTCCACTGTCAGGACTTCTGTGGCACCGAACTCCTTCCAAATCCCAGGACCTTAGGATGCAAAGAACACGGTATATCGGGGACAGAGCTTGAGAAGATAGAGAGAGAGAGAGAGAGAGAGACAGAGAGAGACAGAGAGAGACAGAGAGAGACAGAGAGAGACAGAGAGAGACAGAGAGAGACAGCGAGAGACAGAGAGAGACAGAGAGAGACAGAGAGAGAGACAGAGAGAGAGACAGAGAGAGAGACAGAGAGAGAGGGAGAGAGCGGGAGAGAGCGAGGGAGAGAGAGAGAGAGAGCGGGAGAGAGCGAGGGAGAGAG